CTTGGAGCGCCATAAAAGGCCTGAATGCTGAGAGCCTCCATGATTAGTTGGTTCTGCTCCTAAACCCTAAATCCGAAACCCTAACACCGAAATCCTAAAACTGGACCCTTAACGGATTGCGCCAAGAAGACGTAAAGGGCACACACCCTGCGTTACCTCAAGAACCATAGTTGTTGGAGCTGGCACTCCGGCTGAAGGTTTAGGCTTAGGGTTGGCGGTTTAAGGTTAGGGCAACAACTTACCTTTGGTTAGCTAGGAATGAAGGAATGGATCCTTATAGTAACCCCTATGTATAATCCATTATAGTTGTTTCCATTTTTCCAGAAGACAACATCAAGCAAAGCAGTGTGCAGATCTGATCGTCGCACAATGCGGACGGTGCGCTGGGGACCAGGCACTCGCAGAGCTTGCGGAAGCTCTTGCCTCTTCAACCTAACTACTCAGAGGGTCAGGGGGATGCAGTAAGGAGGCGAATGATGGACATACTGTACGGCCTTTAGGCTTTATAGGTACACTCAAATGGGCCCTCTAACCCTCCAAGTAGTTGTGTTGCAGTTGGTTTCTGCAGATTGGTTTTGCATGATGCGCAGTCTACCGTACTAGCTAACCCGACCCAAACAGGCTCGCAAGCGCAACCTTTCCCTTGTTTACTATATACCCCCCTGTATTTCCCCATACTCATGCCCTAAGCGAAACCCCAACCAGGAAGTCCAGCTTCCATTTCTTTCTGCACTAGAAACCCTAAACCCCAAGCTGTGAACCCGAAGCCCTGAACCCTGAATCTTAAATCCTAAACCCTAAGCCCTAAACCCCAAGCCCAAACCCTTAAACCCCAGACCCTAAAACCTAAAGCCCTAAACCCTAAACCCCTTCTTTGAGCCTCGGGCCTGTCCGGCCTTCTGCCCGCAGCAGTAGCAGAAGCTGGCCCCAGCCACCATAGAAGATTGGCACTTCGAACATGTACCCTCCACCTGAAAGCTTTGGGGGCTTCTAGGGTTTTAGGCTTCATGTAGTTTTTGGGCTTAGGGTTTAAGGTTTCAGGGTTTAGGCTTTTAGGGTTAAGGCATTAGGGTTTAAATGGTGTTTGTGGTTAGGGCTTCGGCCCCAGGCATAGGAACCACATGAGTAGCGCTTTTGGTGGTTTCTCCTCTGGGAAGATACCGTAACCCAAAAGAGGATATCGTCCTACTCTATATCGGGGACGATAGGAGCCCAAAATGAAACACTTCTCACCTGAAGTTGCGTATGATCAGCAGAATAGGGTCTACCAATCCTGGGAAAGCGGAAAATAAGACCCTAAGCCCTAAACCATAAACCCTGAACTCTGAACTATGCAAGTAGAAGCATGGCGGGGCTTGCAAGAAGTAGGGGTCTCTTCGAAGGGTTCGCCAAAATTAATGCTTTCTATATTGAAGCTCCCTTTTCATGAGCAGTGCCAGCAACATCGAACTCGACTAAGCCTACAGTAGATCCTAGATCTTAAGCCCTAAACCCTAAACCAAAAATCCTAAACCCTAAACCGTAAATCCTAAACCCTGAAACTTGCCAGAAGCACTTCGATGGTATGCTTGGCTTCAAGGCCAGCCGCAGATCTGGCTGCCTCCTGCAGGGCTCAAATGGACGTTTTTAGTCCCCCTTAAGTAGATTGAATATAGGGTTTAGGGTTTAGGGATTAGGGTCTAGGGATTAGGTTTTAAGGATTAGGGTTTAGGGTCTAGGGATTAGGTTTAGGGATTAGGGTTTGGGGTCTGTTTTAGGGATTAGGCTTTAGGGTCTAGGGATTAAGTTTTAGGGATTAGGATTTATGGTCTAGGGATTAGGGTTTAGGGCATAGCCCCCCTTAAGTAGATAATATGGGGTATATGGGAATCCTACTATAGTATACCCAGAGCCATATTCTATCTACTTCAGGGAGACTACAACTTCAGGGTTTAGGGCTTAAGGTCTAGGGTTTAGGGTTCAGGGAGTAGGTGGACAAGAACGTGGAAAATTACATGGACACTGAAGTTACGAAGAGGTTCTATGGGTTCCCTTGAATAGGGTTATTCCATGAGTTATATTGTGGTGTGCATGGTCTAGGATAGGGTTTCCAGCGTATAGGGCGGCCTTTCTGGGGGCTGGTCCTTATGGTTTAGCATCGCTCACGGAATGAATCCCTAGTCCCTTAACCTTAATCCCTAAACCCTGATCCCTAAACCCTAAACCCTAAGTCCTAAACCCCAGTCCCCAAACCCTAAACCCGAATCCCTAAACCCAAGACTCTAATCCCTAAACCCTCATCCCTAAACCCAAATCCCTAAACCCTACACCGCGAAGGATCGCGAAGGATCCCTAAGAACCCAGGTGCCTCAGCAGACCAGCTTTCTGCAAGGTCGCCACGTGCCTCTTTCAAGGCACGATCCCCAAAAGGGTCCACGTAGGTGTAGACAATGCTAGTACCCTAGGGGTTCAAGGACTCAAGTCATGGACTTTTAGGGCCCAAATACTCTCACCTGGAGGATATTTGGGACCTAGAACCCTAATATTTGGGTGCTTGGACCCGTAAAGTTAGGGGCTTAGGGCGTAGCATTTCTTTCAAGGATCTGACGGGGTCCATGTGAGCCATTGTCTCTGCTATCCCCCTCTTTGAGTCCCCATAATAATTCCCGATATAATCTCCTGCATAATATAACCCCGTTTAAGGGGCTTAGACTCAGACTCTAGCTCATGTAGGTGTATCACTGTATAATATACTAGTAGGGTTTAGGGGTTAGCGTTCAGGATAGGTATATAGAGTTCCCCAAAAAACTATTCAGGGGCTCTAGCTGTGACCCGTTGGGGATGCAAGCTGGTGGCCACAAGCAGACCGGGCCTTTCACTGGCTTCAAAATTCTCAAATATCTAACCACATTTCAGCCCAAAGAATGGACTGTCTTGGCCCAGCAGATTGCGTGACTTCCCCAGTTCTGAATTCCTTTCTCAAAGGCCCTGGACGAAGAGCCCAAAGGCTTGAAAGGTGCTTTTTTGTGGCCCTAGGTTTGGGTTTTAGGTTTGACACGTACTCATGTCGAAGCAGCAACGCTGGAGAGCTTTCAGGGCACATCCATCAGCACAAGAATTAGCTAGGCATCACCCAACCTGTAAAGAGAGGAGCTGATCTTTTTTCTGAGTGGAGTGTCCGGCGCAACACTGGTCATCCTGCAAGTCCCCGCTACCATGACTTATGTACAGAAAATTATCTCGGCTTTAAGGCAATCTCTAGGTAACTTACTGGTGCTTCGTAAAAAATAAGGGAACATCTTGTATAGGGGGTCTATGGGGAGTATATTCCCTTACTTATTCCCGACTAACCAACAGTCAGATAATGAGCCCTTAACTCAAAACCCGAACCCTATTCCCTAAACCCTACTCCCTAAGCCCTAAACCCTCTTCAGCTATCCAACTCTCAGATCTGGCCAGCAAAATCGTAGCTGCTGACCTAAGGTCACAGGCAGGGTTTAGGGCTGAGGGTTTAGAGTTTAGGGTTTTGGGATGCAGGTCTACAGTTTAGGGTGTTGAGGGGATCAGGGTTTGGGGTTTAGATTTTAGGGTTTGGGGATTCAGGTTTACAGTTTAGGGTTTTAGGGTTTCGGGGATCAGGGTTTAGGGTGTAAGAAAAGGTTTAGGTTCAAGAGTCAAACTGACCTTCCCCCTTCTTCCCCAAGTCTACTTGAGCTGATGTCCTTCACTTGTGGAAAGTCAGAGTCTAGGCACATAGTGGTTTCCATGCTCTTGTCCATTATCCCTATAAAACCCCAATATACTATAGTAGTTTCCATTTTCTTTTCCATTATCCCTGTATAACCTCAAAACCCCAATATACTAGAGTAGTTTCCATTTCCATTTTCTTTTCCATTATCTCTATATAACCCCAACCCTAGATGCGCACATGTATCTATATATATATATATGTCACATCTTCAGTGGAGATGAAGCAGCCCTTTTTTGCCGGGCACCTGTCTTTCACCGAGTTCAGGCAATGCGGGCTATAGTCTGAACTCCCAGTATGCCCCTTAATAACGCCCATATTGGTCACCTATGTAATCACCTATATAACCCCCTTAAAGGAGTTCAGACTATAGCTACTATAGCTCATGTGGGATGGTTGCATGGCTAAGCTCCAGAATGGGATCGCGCGTCTGCCCTTTCTGAAAGTTCTGCCTAAGGGAAGATTATACAGTGCATCCACCAACTCCCTTATGAAGCCTAGTAACCCCTGGGGTTAATGGAAAGGAAAATGGAAACTACTATAGTATATTGGGGTTATATTGAGGTTATACAGGGATAATGGAAAAGAAAATGGAAGCTACTATAGCATATTGGGGTTACGTTGGGGTTATATACGGATAATGGAAAATAGAATGGAAAGTACTACTTAATCCCCTATAATAATCTCCTAGATAACCCCAACTCTTAGCAACCTTATGAACTTTGACCCTAAATTGTATTGTGATGATACTGAGGGCCCAGCTTTCAGCACCAAAGTCTTCAAAGCAGGAAGGTAGACCTCAGCGATGACTGGCGATGCTGCCATATCATCCACTGTCAAATGCAGCAATGAAATTCATCAAGCATAGTCAGGCTAGCATTGCACAGGCTTTAAGCAAGCGCATGCAGGGGCGAACTTCACCTTGCTTTTGCACAGCGCTGGACCACCACACCAGAAGCCCAAGTAGCCGGAGCAGTGTCACACGCGCTGCTTGCAGCACAGAAGAGACCGAATTCATCTGCGTAAAGAAGAGTCATCACTCGCAGGCTTACCATGTGTCTCTCCAGGTGACTGTCTTTACTGCTGTACTCGTAAAGGATCGTAAAGGACTGTACATGGGAACTGGCCCCATCATTTGGTTTCACGCCTTCGCAAAACAATGAATTAATTGCAAACCTGACGGAAATCTTGTCCGAATGGCTTAAATAAGGATCCGCACAGGTGAATCCTGTTCCTGGCCGCCATGTATCCGTCACTCACAACCTGACACAGCCTAAGCTTGCGTCTGGGTAGCAGGGTGTTCCTTCGGAATCCGGAAAATTTTGGCCAAAGCAGTTGCTACCGGTAGGAGTTTGCTTCTCTGACGCTCATCCATCTGCACAAGCTCGTCGTAAGACTTGATTCCTCAACTGTTCACACAAGCCATGCATGAATCAGATGAAGCTCTGCAAAGAAGCAAGAACGTTGGTAGTTTGCATAGATTGGTGGACCCCTATATAGACCCCAAAATACCATAATCTTTGTTATACGCGCCCCCCAAAAAAGTGACCCTTATTCGGGGAAACCTCAAACCCTGAACACTGAATAGTAGTTTCCACTTTCTTTTCCATTATGCCTCTATAACCCCTTCGAAGGCACTCATACTGCTGGGAAACCACCATTCTTTAATTCTGCAAGGCATCCAGCAGTTGCGGCCTTCTCTCCAATGGTGAAGTCCTCCCTGGTACCTGTCACAGGCCCCATTGGACAGTACTGTTTAGTGGTGTAGGGTTAAGGGGGGTCAGGGTTCAGGGTTACAGTGACAGCACTTATTGCTGTTGTGATCGCGGTTACTGTTGTTGTGGCTGCAGCTTCATTCCGCCAACTTTATCTGTTGTAATCGGAATAGAAGCCAAGGGAGCCCGGACACAAGCAGTCGATGCCGGAAGGCTGTCCTAACATGGAGAGCACCTTGGATCAAGCCCTTGCTTATCAGGTGAGCTATAATCAAGACACCTAGAATCCCGTTACTGTCCCCTAGCATCCGCTATATAATCCCCTACAGAAGCCCCCTTGAAGGAGTTTTCGCTCGAAGCCAGCAAGTGTTGTAAGTAAAGGCACCCGAGCTGGGACTAGGGTTTAGGGTTTAGGGGCTTAGAGTTTAGGGTTCAAGGGCCCTGATAATAAACAAGCCACCATTCCTCAACTGAATGATATGACGTGTCAGCACAACAAGGATCCATTGTAGAAAGAATGGGAACCTCACGTTGTGATCCTTAAAGTATGAAGCGTTGCTGCTCACTAGCTGCCGGGATATATAACCCCAAATAACACAAGAACATGAAACATGACATTGGATTTTGAAGCGGTTTGTAGGGATAGTAGTTTTCAATTTAGTGTCCATTCGCATATATCCTGAAACCCCAAAGCCTTAAACCCCCCTTTTTGGGATTCAATTCTACCTTGCGCCTTCGATGATGTGGAGCTTTTTAGCCATCGCCAGGCCAATCGTCACCTTGTCTGGGAGGGTTGAGGGTTTAAGTTTTACTCCCTAAGCCTAAACCCTAAGACAAGGGTTTAGGGTTTAGGGATATAGGATTTAGGCTGGGTTTAGGGGTCTATGGCTTAGCGTTTTAGGGTCTAGGTCCCGGGGAATCTACAGAAGTACTGGAGAGACAAAATTATAGAAGCCAAGTCACCATGAGATTCACGGCCTGCGTGCGAGGGGGAGGTTTCGTCACCCGGTCCTTTGCCTGCAAATGCGACGTGGTGGAGGCTTCTGCTCAGTACTAGGACCCACCTGGTACCCGCAGTTCGGGCTATATGGGCCCTAGTAGTAGGTACTTAGGCCTAAAAGAATCCCTTTGCCAGTTAGTTCCCTTGCGACACCATCTTGATGCGACCTTGCCCCTAAACCCCTAAAGCCTAAACCCTAAACAACATTAGTACCATGAAGGAGTCTCCTTACTATGCCTGCCTGCAGGGCCAACTTCTGCAGTGCATGGGCGTTTGGCCGCTGTCTCTGGTCAAAGGCTGCAAAGGGATCTTCTGGATGCTCCTCCACACATGAAGGATTCCTTCTCTTCAACTAGGTGCTTGAGCCCTAAACCCTAAACCCTAATAATATAACCCTATATAACCCCAATATTACCCTGTACAACCCCCAATATCAAGAGAAACCCTAATAATATAACCCTATATAACCCCCATATTACGCTATAAAACCCCCATATAGTTAGTTATGACCATTTCCATTTTCTAACCATGCACCACCCCCTAGGCTATATCATAGACCCAAACCACTACTAGAAACCCAACCAGATGACCTACACTAGGCCATATCATGGACCAAAAACCAGACCCAGACCATCAAGCAAAAAAACACAACACCACCACTGGAAATTCAACCAAGTGACCTATTCTACGCTACCCTAAGCCTGAGCACGTAGAAAAACCCATAACGTCCAAGCTCAACTCCCTAAGCTGAGAAAATGGAAATGGCAATCTTTCAAAAAGATACGCCACAAAGAAAATGCTGATGCGCTTGTCAAGTTCATATATAGGGTCAACTTCACCGGCGTCCACATTCAAACACTCCATCTACCCGTGCAAGAGCCTAAACCCCTTTGCGCTCCTACGCTGCCACTTCTGAAGATGTGATGAATGCAGGCAGAAATGCTTTCCTACATCACGTCAGCGCACATAGGAACTCCCCGCACGCATTGCCACTCACGACATCTATCCAACCCCTGCAATTGACGAAGGGAACTCTTTTTGCGTCGAGCGTGGATGACACTTCTCGCTCAGGGCTGTAGGCTGGAATCCTGAAGATCAAAGTTCCGGACTTTTCCCGGGGTCGCTGGGCTGCGCCCCAACACAAGCGAACTGAACTGCTTTCTCTGCTTCACTGCTTGCCCTGAAGCCTACCAGGTTGGTAACAACGGGCATGAAATCGCAATACTTCAGTCGGCCCTGAGACATGTACAAGCCGACATTCTTCCAAGCCGACGGCCCTGCCACCACAAAGTGCGAGTTCGGCACGTGGTTCTTGAAACTGTCCCCATCTGGCCTCTTCGAAGCCTGTGAAATGCCGCGCAATGGAAATGCTACAGAGCCATCTTGGCCGCCCACACGTAACGGGATCGTTACGTATACATCAGGGAAAAGCATGCCATCGGCTTGCTGCTGGAGTCCAATCGCAGAACCTTCGTCCATGCACAAAGGGTATGTGAAAACCTAGCCTAGCACTAAACTCACCAATAAAATGCCAGCAAAACAACCCAAAGACGGTGTATGGTTCAGGGTTTGGCTACAGCGCACACGCCAAGCAGCTCAGTTCGTCTGTCACAGCACCATCTTCGCCAATCCATCCACTTTCAAGCAACAACATGGTGGATGCACTCGCTCCAGTGAAGCTGTTGTTGATGGTTGCCCACACGAAAAAAGGGCTATACCTGAGTCCAACTCAAAAACTGCGGGGTTGCGCATCCCCGAAACTTCTAAACAGGAATGGAAACGACCAAGGAGCTGCAGCAGCGCGTCAATGTCGTCTTGGCGAAAGTCTGCTTGTAGTAACAATTTTGCATCTGCACATTCCTTCTTCGACCCGCGCGCAGACCACAGGAGTGCTGCGGCCTAGACCATGGTTGGGGATGGAAGCCAAGGGTCAACTCATCAGATCTTAGACTTAGTGTTTAGGGTGTAGGGTCTATATAGGGTTTAGGGCAACAGACTTTCCAACAAGGACGAAACGCCATCGCGAAGCTGCATGACCACGTCATCATGGCGTGTTTCTACAAGGTCACTCTACATCATGGAGTCTGAACAAGGCGGCGGCAGGAACCTGACAATTGACATGCATGAGTCAGATTGAGCTGGACTGCTTCAGTGTGCAGCGTGCGAGTCCGCTTCCTACAGTAGGAGTCTTATCCATTGCTGGGAGGTTTGGCTAAACTGTCCAAACCTGCGCCTTCACTCGAATGAACCGAATACAACCTGTCAAGAGTGCCATCCGAGGGTCGTCCTGCATGTTGCTCACAGCGATTTCGTTCAAAACAATAATCTACAGCTTTAACAACTCAAAATGCAAATACTGCCGATTGTTGCCCTCAACTCTGTAATAATCTTGACCTAATTCATTTTCCATACTTTCTATTGTATAAATATTCTGTGACCAGTTTCCCACTCTTTCTTTTTCATTGGGTTTTCGTTTCTTAAAAATTTTAACCTCATCGCCCACACCTAGTTCTGGATATACGCGGTTCTTCTTGCCCTTCATCGTTAAATTTAATT